AAGGAGGGGCGGCCTGAGGCTCTCCGAGCACCGGACCGGGAAGACTGGTTTGGGCTCGCTCACGGTGCCAGGGCACAAAGCGCAGGCCCGACCCTTCCCTGTCCCACTCGGCAGCACCCGGCCTCCTCCCTGTGGGCGGGACCCCCCGGGGTGCTGGGGACAGAAGCGCGACTGGGACACGGCCCCTGAGATCCAAGCTCCCAGGCTGAGCCGTGGACCGACGGCACGGCACAGAGATCTGGCGAGGCCCCGTGAAGGCCAGACACAGCCAGGCACTCAGGGGACAGAACCCCCATCCCCAGAGGAGGGGACCCAAGACGGGGTGTCGCAGGCCGAGAAGGGGGCCCGGACACGCCCTGGCTGGTGTGTGGGAGCCAAGGCGGCAGAGAGCGCACAGTGGGCGGGAAGGGCGAGAGCGCCAGCAGGAACAAGGCAGACAGGGGTGGCCGAGGGGCACCGCCGAGCAGGGAGCCAGCAGCGTGGCCCCCTCGAGTGTCCACCAAGCAATGGGGGTGTGACTCACCCGTGAGGGAGACACAACCCTGGAGCTTCTGTTTCAACTACGTGGGGAGATGCTCTGTCATCAGGCTGGGGCGACGGGCTGGGGGCAGGCACCGTGGCAGCCAGGCTCCAGGCGCCCCCGTGGCCTGGCCTCCTGCTGCTCACGCCCCTGCAGTCACACAATCTCACACACACACAACATAGTGCAGACACACTGTGGGGTTTCTGAGGTCACCCGGGACATCGCGCCTCCCCTCGCCACCTCCTGGACCAGCCGGTGGGGGAGCCCGCCACCACCAGCCTCCCGCCAAAGCCAGCACCAACTGCCACCCTCGGAGGCGGGTCCCGGGCCCCGGTGCAGACTGGGCTGCCTCATCCTCACCGGCATTGCCAGCTCAGAAGTGAGTGGGGGTTGCCTCTCCCCAAGACGCCCCCATGACATTCCTGCCAAATTGATCCGCACCCAGATTCTCCCAGTGAGAACCCAGCGGAAACACAGCCCACTCTGTGCGGCCAGCGGCCTGCGTCCCTGCACACGGCCCACCCCGGTGTGTGTGGGGGGGCAGGGGGGGTGACCTCGCTGAGGCAGGCTTGGGGTCCCAGACCGATTTCTCACAGAGGGGGTGGGAGGTGATTCCCACGCATCGTGTCACCTCGGCCTTCAGGGCTGCGGGATGTGCTGGGCCCCTGTGGAGGTGCTCAGGGCCACCCCTTCTCTTCACAGGCAGGAAGCGGGGTGTCCAGAGCGGAGCAGCTAGAACAGGGGCCTCCGGGCTCCTCACTGGGGGGTGCTCAGGGTGGTGGATTGAGCCGCAAAGCCACGCCACATACAGTGTGTGCTAAGAAGTCAGCACCGTGGCCTACGACCCCGCGCCCGGCCCCTCCTGTTAGAAAGAAACCTACGGACCGGCCCCAGGGCCGGAGAGGAGAGAGGAGAGAGGAGAGCCCTACGGCGTGTGGTGCAGCCGGCCGGGGGCAGGGGCGGCTCCCAGGGCCCCCGGAACCCCGCTCGGCCAAGCCCGGGCGACGGGGCTGCGGCCAGGGAAGGGCAGCCCGGGTCAGGCCGCGTTGAGTCACAGCAGAGGATCCTAAAGGAGCAGATGTGAGAGCAACGGCTCTGCCAGCCCCGGCCTTGTTTCCTCTGAAAAACTTGGCAGCTGGCGACACCCGCGGACGCCTGTCCTTCCCCCGATGGGAGCCAGGGAGCGGGAGGAGGCCCGCCAGCCCGCCCTGTGGATCCTGGGAGGGAAGGGCCCTCTCTCTTTCCTTCAACGCCACAGGCGCGTGTGTGTGTGAGTGTGTGTGTGTGTGAGTGTGTGTGTGTGTGTGCGTGAGTGTGTGCGTGTATGTGTGTGTGCGTGTGTGTATGTGTGTGTGTGAGTGTGCGTGTGTGTGTGAGTGTGTGTGTATGTGTGTCGGAGAGAGTGTGTGAGTGTGTGTGATTGTGTGTATGTGTGTGTCAGTGTGTGTGTGCATGTGTGTGTATGTGTGTGTGCGTGTGTGTATGAGTGTGTGTATGTGTGTGTGTGAGTGTGTGTGTGTGAGTATGTGCGTGTGTGTGTGTGCGTGTGTGTCAGTGTGTGCGTGCGTGTGTGTGTATGTGTGTGAGTGAGTGCGTGTGTGTGAGTGCGTGTGTGTGTGCGTGTGTGTATGACTGTGTGTGTGCGTGTGTGAGAGTGTGTGTGCGTGTGTGTGTGTGAGTGTGAGTGTGTGCGTGTGAGTGTGCGTGTCCACATGTATATTTGCATGCAAAAAACATCTGGAAGCTGGGCCAGTGTGGCTCAGTGGCTGTGTCGACCCATGAACCAAGGTCACAGGTTCGATTCCCCATCAGGGGACAGGGCCTGCTGTGGACTGGATCCCCAGCAGGGGGCAGCCTATCGATGATTCTCTCATCATTGACGTTTCTATCCCCCCCCCTCCCTTCCTCGCTCTGAAATCAATAAAAATGTATTTTTAAAAAAAAAACACGGAGGGAGATGTTTAAACCATTGGCCATTTGGACACGGAAGGGACAGTTAGGAGGTAAGAGCAATATTTCAGGAGCCACGTCAGCAGGCTGGCGGGAGCCGGCGACCGTGGCGGCTGAGGGGGTGGGGGTCACGCTCCCTGTCCCCCTGCGTGTGTGACTCCTCCACAGGCAGCGCTGAAGTCTGGTCGCC